AAAACTAGAAATATAAAAAATAAACAATGTTGTTTCAGATTTGTACACATGATTATTTAATGTTGTTCGTAATTTAATTAATATAATAAAATATACCGTAAAGAGGGTTGAACTTACACTATGTAATATTAACATAACTAGATATTTTTCCAAATCCGAATCATTTTTGTATTTAAAAAATTATTATTTTCAAGTTAGAAAAAATAAGGCCAATTAAAAAAAGCATTCTGGGTCAATGATTTTTAAAGTTATGTGTAACTTATAACTTACACATATAGTGTCCCTTCCGTCGATTTTAAGTTAAAAGTTTTTGATATTATTTAGTCATCTAATCTATATATATAAAGCTAATATCGATTACAAAGACTCATTACAAATTTAACAAAAACGCGTTAAGTCATCACATTGCAAATTGTTTCAGATTGTTTAGTTGACAACATTGCACATTTAGGAATGTCTTCTGATGTATGGACGTAATTGATATAAATGAGTGTTTTCTAATTAATAAATTTCCAATGATAGAACAACATGATCGACGGGAATAGTAACATTATCGCGTCTGAATGCAATGAGTCATGGGACTAAAGGAGGCGACAAAATTAATTCGAATGCCATAACGTAGTCAATGAGTGGCAGAATAGACGGAATTTCAACGAGTAAAACTTGGCTGCAGTTTCACAGAATCAATAGCAATGTTTAAAAAGAGAAATTGTGAAGACAAAGATACCTGGAAGTGGGTGTCTGAAGTACAAGCATTGGAAAGGTTGTTTCACTATGCAACAAGATAATCTAAAAATGTAGAAATGACAAGTGGATTCATGTCATTTAGATTTGTGCACTGCTATGTGATGAAAAGGGAATGAATTTTTGCTGCAGTTTTGGGAACATTGTCCTTGTACCTCTGCATCACTCCATAGTTGATGCTCATGCTGAAAATTCTTAATAATACACAAGAATTACAATGCTTGGCAATGGTTTCAATGGGAGGGAGTAAAACTGTCAATGTCACAAGGACAAGGGATTTAGAAAATTTTGGAATGTATTGAATGATTTAATATCATTTTGATCAAACAGTTCCATCACAACACAATCAAGTAAATTATGGCACTGTTATTTTATAGATTCTGAAGACGTTTTACAATTGTTTCTTGAAAATCCAGCACATATTGTATATTTTCCATAACTAATAAATGTCGGTTAAAATACTGGTATCTGTAATCCCATTTTTAGTTATACAAGATGTAAGAGGGTAGAGCTGAAGCTCATGAATTCTTGGCAGAACATAAGCAACATGAGAGAGGATTGTTATTATGGTCTTTGATGTTAATGAAGTGGCGAGATGTTACAATAAACGAAAGTGTCTAGATTTTATAACAGAAAATGAAGTTGTGATTGTATATATCTGTTAACATTGTTACCATTCATCTATGAGATGATGGTCTGCAAAGCATGTCACAAGTTTGAAAGAAATGCAAAGCTGATGACCACTTTTACATCCATTAAGCAATTTCAGATAGTATAATAAAAGACTAGAAGTAAGACAATGAGATTAAAATGTCAGTGCTATTGTTTGCCCATAACAGAAAATGAATCTTCTGTAATTCATAAACTGGAAATTATGTTTCAATAATATGCAAAAATGAGATCAGAACCGCTCAATTCACATATGCTGAAAGGACTTATGGATTACAAGAAAAAAGCTAGAACTATAGACAACAGTCATTGGAAGAATGTTCTTTGCCAATTCATTTACAGGAAGCCAAAGATTATTTATTTAAATATATCAAGATTTCATGTCTACATTATGCTGACTTGGAAAACATTTCTTCATTATGGTTACATGCAGTCTTAAATGATTACAACAAATTATACAACAACCTACTTCTTTGGATACAACATTAGCATTAAATAACCACACTGATTTTTTGAGGTTGGTTATTTGATACAACTATTTCAGAACACCAACCATCCTTGGATTATCCTGCTATTTTGACAAGGATCTGAATGAATTTAAAAGAAATTCAAAACAACTTGTTTACATGATTCTTACATAGTTACATATTTCTTTGAAAAAGTTATAATATACTTTTGGATCATTAAATTTCAGAAAGATGGATGGTTGCAGTGTTATATGTAATTAATTATGAACTAAGATGGCAAACTATAGACATGTATGTGGTTGTGCAAGGAAAGTTCAAGACCTTACACAGTGGACTGAAATTGAATGTATTGTTTATGGTTGACAGTAGATGTTCAAAGAAATTTCTAAAGGCTTTTTGAGAACTTTAAATAATAATGAAGGTAGGTATCTTAAATATCAGTAAAATCATAATTACCTAATTGAATGCCATTTGGATAACCAACTGATCATGTCTGATAAGATGTATATCAAAGAAATGTAGCATATTATTAACTCTAAACTATGTGCAATAGTAAAGTATCGACAAATATGTACATAAAGATCCAGAAAGAGTGTAAATGCAAATAATGAATGCAATGAAAGACACTACTGGAGCATATGATGAAATCAAGGCTCAACCAGCTACTTAGCATGTCAGTACCTCAGAAAGAATTTGGCAGATTTTCCCAAATTCACATGACTCATTGACTGGCAGTTTGTTTACCAAATGAAAAGGAAGCATATTTTCAATCTGAAAATAACAATGCAGAATGCACAAGGATTATTATACTAACTAAACTGTTCAAGTTAAAGATTTCTGCAGTAGAGTGGTAGAATTGATGTACTGTATTCAACATTACAATATTATGAAATTCTAGAATATTATATATTTCCAGAAATGAAGAATGAAAAATAAAACAATACAATTGACAAAGACTCTTTGCCAAGTGATGCATAGTTTTTTGACTACAAGAATTGGAATAATTTTGTTTCTTCATTTAAAAGATGTAACAAGTTTTAAAGTTCTTTCAAATGTTAATGAATAAATGATTGACATTCAAAAAGTTGCTTCAACAATTGACTGGCTAGTTGAACTCAAATTACAAAGTTACTGCAGATTTTCAAATATCATATGAAATAAATGGCTTTTGTATCTATCTTCCCAAGTGAAGAGTACCAATAATTTATGGAACCAATACAAGAATGCATTTGGCTGAAGATTACTTATTACAATTGAAGTTAACACTGATAGCAGCATAAATATATAGATCAATATTTCCAGAATGCAGTGCTACACCTGTGAATTAGACTGAATAATCAATCCAATCAACCTTCAATATTATTTCCAGCATGCAGAATATTTATACATAATGCTGAATGATATATCCCCAATCAAACTTCCTACATATAGAACTACTGCATGTTCATCCATGGATCTTGTGGTTCTAGAAAAATATATCTTTACAATACATTGCATGTGTTTACTGCAAAAAAAGGTAGTCAAAAAACTTTCATTCCTAACTTTTCAAAACAAAAAAAATACCTCCTCACAAAAATCTATTCCGGACGATAAAATATATGATATTTAATAATATTAAATCTAGATATTTTTGCATTTTACCTGAAGCTAAGTTTCATTCCCTATCCTTTCAACAATGTAAACATAATTTTTTTTAATTTCTTTTTCCGATGTTTAAGTCTGCCGTAGATAGCCTAAACAACTCGAATTATAGTCCAGACTCAATTCTTTAAAAAGTTAAAGGCAATTCCGCTGTTGTTCTCTCCAAACTCTTCACAACTTTATTAAACTCTAGTCTCATTCAAAATCAATGGTTAATCTCTAATATAAAGGTTCTCCCCAAAAAAGATAATTCCTTTAGACCAATAACTATTCTATCAGCCATATTAAGAAATTTGCTTATATAACAAAATCTATACCCAAATTACCTCCAGATTCTCCCTCATCAACACTCTGGCATCCGTAACCTTTCTACTACTACTAATCTTCTTGAAACAACTTATACTATTTTGCAAAATTTTGAGAACAAAAAATCCACCTACATAATTTATATTGACATTTCCAAAGCCCTTTGACTCTATCATTCCTAAATTACTACTTCAGACTCTAATTGATTATTTTGATTTAGATCCTGCTCTTTACTGTTGGTTAAACAATTACCATTTATCCAGACTATGTAAGATTCACATTGGTGACTTTGATTTTTTCTCTTTCTCTCCTATCTGTGGCATACCTCAAGGATCTATACTAAGCATGCTTTTTTTCTCAGCTTATATAGATAAATTACTAATCAACCCCCACTCTAAAGTAATTGCCTATGCCGATGACATCAAAATTTTATCCAATGATCCCTTCTCTCTTTAGATCACTGTCAATTCTTTATGTTCTAATCTTGCCAGTTATAATCTAAAAATCAACATCCATAAAACTGTCATTATGTGTTTTTCTCTACTTTGTAATCCCTACCATCCTTCCATATTTATTGATTCCTCTAAAATAAACTATGTCCAGTCTCATCGTGACCTTATTATCATATCTGATGAAAATTTAATATTCCATGATCATATCTTTTGCAATTAGACGTGGCTTTATCTGGCGTTTTTGCAAAAATATCTATTCAAAAACCATACTCAGAACAATTTTCTTTACTAATTTTCAATCAATAGTCGATTATTGTTTACCAGTCTGGGCCATGGCTGTCCCTTATCTGATTCAAAAAATACAATCTGAATTAAATAAAGTTTATTTTCTGATTCACAAATTCTGCAATTTACCCTTTACTGACAACCACAATGTGGCAAGAGTTTGCCTTGGTCTTCCAAATCTTTCTGATCGCTTAAAATATTTTGACTACATTCTCTGCTTTAAATACTTCAATGGTCTAATTTTAAATTACTGGCTAGGTCTCTGCATCCCTACTGTAAGAACCCGTAATACATCATGCTTCTTCATCCCATTTTTTTGCCTTTCTCTTTCACAAAGATCCTTTTTTTACCGTACAGCATCTCACATACAGCCTGTTGAACCTTACCTATATCGTGATTTTAATTTTTTTAAAAAATAAATGTAAATCTATTTTATATAATATATAATGTAACTTTTGTTTTACTTTATTTATAATTTTTTTTATGTCTGTTATATTTTGTAATCATTTTATTGGGGATAATTTTTTTTGTTATTAGGGGGGTGGAATACAATCGTCTCTGTCGTTTTCAATTAAATGTAAATAAATAAATAAAATAAATAAAGTGCTTTGTTTGTAGCATGTTCTGAAATAGATGCAATGCATCTGCTGAATTCAGGAAAGTTCGTGTTGCCTTCAAGCTTCCATTAAACATTGCAGATTGACTAAAGCTTTAACACAAAGCTCAATGGCTACAAATTACTTAAACTACAAAAAGTAGATGTCACCATTTAAGATGAGCACCATTTCATACTGTTAAAATTCTGTTACAAGAAATTATGGGAATTACATTCGTATTTGGAAGGAAGACTATTGTAGAAGGTAATTTTCATTAAATGCTACAAATTATCAGAAAAAACCTAATGGAAGAACTTCATCAATGCATTCATTAGTCAATTGCAATTTCAGAATCATTTCAAAATATTTCAACTGGTGAACAACATAAATATAGTCTCCAATCTCATAAGTACAGAAATAATGCTGTTTCTATGGATCAACAGGGCTTTATGAATGTAAACAAGGATGTGTTAGTAATGGAGAACTAATCTGAACAAAGCATCAGACAAGAAGATAGTCAAACAACTGTGGAAAAATTATCCTGGTACTAGAGAAATTTCTCTAGCCTTGAATAATAAAAATATTAATAAGTTTAACATTAGCTTAAGAACAATAGGAAAAAGTCAATATTAGTGCAAATGAAATAATTAATCACACAGAAGGGAAAAACTTTCCAAATGAATTTTTAAATAACTGACTCCACAAGTAATGTCACCACACAAATTGATGTTGAGAACTAGAATTAACATTATGTAGCACTAAAATATCAATGTGAAACAAGACTAAAATAGAACACACTTAACTATCATGCAAATGGGGGCAGCATATCATAGACTGTCTGGAAGCACCTGAAATGGTCAGTTCTATTTCTCAGAATTGTTGTGACATTGACAGATGGTACTGAACTCCCATTTCAAATGAAGCACTGCCAATATCCAATAACATTAGCATTTGTGATGATTATGATGATGATGATGATGATGATAAATAAGATTTAAGGATAAAGTTTTGATCATGTGGGGAGGATACTGTTAGAAAATCAAGTATTTGCACAGTGCCAACTCTACATAGCTAAGTCATAAACATGACAGATGAGTTACAGATTTTATCTGAACACAGCCAAGCCAAGGCAAATATATTATTTTTCCAGAAGTTCTTATATGTATAAAATCACTTGACTTTAAATACCAGATATTCTATGTATGATTTCTATGAATTTCAATAGACTGCCTATGAATGTAATAGAATATCTTAAAATTACATTTGTCATATACACAACTCTTTCCTGATGAAAAAATTTCAAAACAACAATTAACATTGTTATGTATTACAAACAAATCTAAAATCCCCTTTTCATTCAGTAATATCATACATTTTATATACATGTTATTAATAAATTTACATACTTCGTATTTCTTTTACTTTTCTTATTATTAATTATAATTACTTTTTAAATATATGCTTTAGGATGAAATTTTTGATTCATTAAGCTGACGGTGTTTTTGCTATCGTAGTAATAAAATATATATATATAAAACTGTCTCAAAAAGTAAACTAATCAGAGCTTCTTAACAATATCATCAATATAGAACCATAATGAAATGATGTAATCCACATTGTACGTATTCAAAATGATAATGATTTCTTTTCTCATGTTAATAAAAAATTTTTGTCATCTTTTTAGAATACAGACTATAAGAAATATCAGACAATGGCACAATTGTGCCATGTGCCCACTAGTAAAATCTAAATAAAAATAGTTCTTAATTGTCAAATCAGCACCTATAGTAAGTTTGAATACAACGTCTCATTGGGCGGAATTGTTTCTTGAATATAATTTCAGCAAATTCAATTTTGTTGTTGTTAATTTTTTAAACTAAACTTTTGGTTCTTCTATATGTTCTTGTATGTAATTTGGCACTTGTTTGGTTCTCTAAATCCAACATGAAAATGTTTCATACATAAAAAGTTTGACAACACCTGCATTTCTGAGGCACTATGCTTGGAAGCATTTAAAAGAGATGTGATCTGCAAAATGCTGCTGCCAGATGGATCAAGCAAATTTATAACTTTTGCTTTTCATTTTCTTCAGCCTCACTCTTTGGCTACATTAAGATTCAATGAAACTTTGCTAACATCAAAGTTCATAATATATATATTTTTCATATTCCTATGGCAGCAATATATTTTTTTTAAGTCACTGGACAACTACACAAGATTATACTCCCTTAAATTTGACTGCAGAATAGTGTCTTTTACTGCTGCAAACACAAACCGGATATTTTCAGTATCTGTAAAGAGAAATACATTTCAAATTTTATATTTTAATACATCCAAGCTAGTTTTAAATTTCTACTATGACATTTTATCAATTACAATTTTAATTTCTACTTCATTTACACGTATATACTAGTTATGTTTAAAATTTTAAGAGATTTTGATATTTCTGTAACAAAGAAATTTATTATTAGAATATTTTAATATTTTCTAATTATTAATTACAGTGCATTCAATAAAGATAAGAACACTCAGTTTTTAAAATTTATTTCAATAGTAAAATGGATTATAGCTAAATTTAATTTTATGTATTTCAATATGTTTTTACATTTATATACAAAATATGAAGTTCTAATATAAACAATAGGATAATTTTATTGAATAAATGAGTTTCTTGAAATGTTCTTGAAGATCACTTATGAATAATGGACAGAAAATGATATAAAGGTCAATTACAAAAGCTAATAACCAGGCAGCTTTTCTTTGTTTACAATTACTTTGAAAACTGTCTGTCATTGACTCAATCAGCTTTTGAAGAAAATCCTGAGGAATTTCCTCCCATTTCTCAATAATTGCAGTCTTTAGGTCTGTGGTGTTATCATATTGCTTTTCATTTGCCTAGACTGACCTCACCAGAAGTCCCCAGATATTCTCCATAGGATTCAAATCGAGTGATACCTCTGGCCAATCCATGATTAAAACCATTGGCTTGAAACCATTCCCAGGTAATGGTGGCAGTATAGATGGGAATGTTGCTGGAACTGCCACTGATGATCTCCCAGTCTTTCTCCAAAGGAAATTAAATGCATTTCTAGCTGCTGGATCCTTTACCATTTTGCCTTCCTTCAAGAAAGGCAATATTTGTTTTCCTACACCCTCCAAAGGCAGTCCAATTTGTTATTTGGAGTAGATTTCCCTCTCCTTTTTTAAATCATGCCAACAATATTGGCAACCATCAGACTTATCTAAACTGAACTTTTTCTTATCTGATCACAATACATTCATCCACTGTTCCTTCCAGGTCAGGTGATTTCTAGCACATGTCAGTTTGGCAGCCTTGTAGTTGTCTGTAAGCTTTGGTTCTGACTTTCTTGTGGTATATTTGAGATGATTGGCAACAAGAATTATGTTCAAAATTGTCCCCAAGCTTACTCCATATTCAGGTTTTGCAGAATTATTTTTGAGAGAGCTTCTTTCATTTATAATTTCCTTAAAATTGCTTCATTCTTATGAGAAGTAAGTTTTTATGGTTTTCCAGGACTCATCTTAACTCCATAATCTTCATTTAACTTCAAATAATTCCTGATCATACAAATCAATCTTCTTGTTTTGTTATCAACAGATCTTATTGACTCACTAGCTTCATTTAAAACAAATAACTAAATGCTTACTGGAAATATTAAATAAAAATAAACAAACACTTTTCTCTATTCCAGCACATTTTTAATGCGTTGAAAAATTACAAGAATTACAAGGGCTTACACACATTGTACCAGCATATATGACACTTATAAACAGAGTGTATACGGAGCATAGCTGAGCAACAGGGATACGGAAGAAAGGCTATCGATGCACTGATAACAAGGATGCAAAAACGAAACGGCAACAAAGAGCAACTGAACTACGGGAAAGAATTGTAATTAATTACCATCCATCTCTAAATAAAATTATTAAGAAAGTTGCCAGAAATAGGAATGTAAAAATAATTTATAGATGTAATCCTACAGTGTATAAGCTTCTAAGAAATGATAAGAAAAGATATGAACGTAATAGCATGACAGGAGTGTACTCGATACCTATGAAGGACCATAGATTTAACTCCGACCTAGTATATATAGGAGCAACTATGCGGAACCTGAAGAAAAGGATTGATGAGCACAAATACTCAGTAAATAGGAGCCTTGATAGCACGGTCCTCACAGTGTTTGCAAAGCAACAAGGAATTGAAGTATACTGGGATCAGGCCGCGATTATTAAACCTACAAGATCAATACAAGCGGTGAAACACCTGGAAAAAGTTGAAATACACAAGGCGCATACGACCGCACAGTGCATCAACTACAGAGATGCCAAAAGTTTATCAACAGCCTGGAAGTCCTTTTATGATAGCATAGATTAACTATTGCAACAGCATAGGCGGCGTTATTATTTGTTTTTATAATATTAATTGATATATAATGTTGTTATTTTTAATTACTTAGGTTTAATCTATACGTTTTATAAATACGCGCATGTGCTTTAGCGTTAAGTTGTAAATAAGCAATGTGAAATTTTTTGTATTTTTTCGAATACTTTGTTTGTTGTATAGTTCGAATTTTGAACTGATGATGATCGATTAAAATGATTGAAAACGTTTTTCAACGCATTAAAAGTGTGCTGGAATGGAGAAAGTTTTTTATTCTTTATTTTTTATTCATTTAATTTTTATTTATTTTTTTTTCATTTAAAACACTTACTTTAAGCATTTGAAAAGAATAAAATATCTTGCCATTATCTATTTTGCCCTTTCCAAATTAACAATGTCTTGCTATATAAGCAGACAACAATTTTTGGTTGCCATAGGAACAATAACAAATATAGGTTAGTAGATGAATTGATTTCATAGATATCCAGATAAACATATTTAAAAATAATGTTAAAAAAATAAATATATAAATATATATATGAATAATTAAATTTTGGGTGTTCACTATCATTGAACACTAAAAAATCATTTTCTTATAAATAATTAATCTGCTAATTTATTTACAATCATAACTGTTAGTGTACAAGTGTCTCTTTATGAAAGAAATAAGTGACAACAATCAGACAGTAATAGCTCCTAGAACTTTCAAGTTATTCATAAAATGTTGGGTGTTTTTATATTTTTGAACACACTGTAATTATTAAGTGATTCTTAAAAAATTGTCCTAACCCTTCACCTATTTGCTGTAACATCAGGAATCATAGATCAAGCAATGTCAACTTGCTACACAGAATTAAAATTTTACAAGTTAGAATCATTATAAAAATAAACTAGAATATACTAAAGACAGAAATGTTCTTTATTCTTGGATACTTATGATTGAATGGACAGACAAATTGATTAATCTGTCAATGCAGAGTAACTGTACATTAAAGCTATGCACCCATCAACAAACTACACTTTATAAGTGGATCTGAATGGTAATGGAATCAACCAGCATGAGTGTAGGATGGAGAACAACACTGACCAGCAATATTCACAAACAAATTATGAGAATATAAATTGAATTCATATCTTGACACCTTATCAAGCAGCCATCTGGTCAACTCATTCAAGATAAAAGAATAAAACAGTTATCAAAACTATTTCATTATTTATATTATATTAAATAATAATAATAATAATAATACAGTTGAAAATATATCCATCCATATTGCATATTAAAGAAATTCATATCTTCCATAATAAATAAAAAAACTAAACAAAAATATTTGAAATTAATTATAAATAATAACCTTCCAATTTGGGTCTCTTAATAAATCAATTAAAATAATTATTTCATGTAATTTCATAAAAGATCTGTTTCCAAAGATAAAAATTACAAAACTAAATAATTTCTATCATCAATATTATAATATTCAAATAAGCTGAATTTATGTAATCAATATGAAAATGAAAATATGTTATCCCTAATAATAATAATAATAATAAATAAAATAAAAAATAATGGTTAAAAGAAAGGAAGACAATTATCAAGGAACTTCACAAATCCCTGATCATAAGCAAGATTATAATCCTTCAAACTGTTTTGTATGATTGTATCCTTGACAGCACAGAATACAAGACAAATATTTTCAGTGTATAGCATGCAAAAAACATTATAAAAAATTATATAAAAATCATCTTGTATTCTGTATTGTAAGAATACAATCATACAAAAATATACTAAATATAAATATATACATTAAAATTTAGTGATTAAATGTTACATGTCATTTAAACAAACAAAATATAAACATTTTCAATCAATACTTTGACAAACTTATACTATGTTTAAATTGTAATCTTCCTAATATTTTCTAGAAAAATCTCTGAAATCTTAGTCAATACAGAATAACTTTGAAATATGAGAACAAAATGAACTATATTACAACTATGAAATATAAGCATGATTTATTTTTAAAATTTGAATTGTTTACTGGATCAAGTCACAGTGGAATTCATTTGATGTGAATTTTTTTAAGTCTCAAAAGAAACTTGTTTTTCATGTCTTACAAACTTGATTCATTCTTTTTATTAAATAATAATAAGATTATTTGTACTAAGTGATTTTAATAAAGATTATTTGTATTTCTTGAAAAATACAAATAATCTTTATTAAAATCACTTAGATGGATTCCAAATGGATTCTGCATCTCTTATTATATTTTGTAATGCAATTAAGACCTTTTTTGTTATCCAAAGAGATCTGAATTGCGAAAAAATTCAAGTCAGATTCTGTAATTTTTACACAGAACTTAACTTATCAAAAAATAAATGAACATTCTTTAAACATCTGAATACAAATGTTCCCAACTGCTTGTCTATTTTAGGTTTTTATGTACCTCACAATACCTAAGGTAGATTTTATATCAATGTATTGTAAAGCACATTGATGTGAAATCTGCCTATAAAATGCTGTGAAGTGTAGAGTAGTGTGAATTTGAGAAGGATATTAGATGTCACATAGGCGACTTGTCAGTTTGCAATACAGAAACTACAACACCCTAACAACAATACAGTCTATGCTTCACCAGTAGAATGAATACACAGGACATTAGTTTTGGTCAATTGATAATGTTTTTTTATAAATAAAAATCAAAACCTTAAAACAATCCAGCAAATCGTTTTTTAATATCTTAAAAATGCTTTCGAATGCTTTAAGCGATCATCCTCATTTTATCATTCTGAATCAAACGAAGAATTCAAAATTTCATAAAAACAAAAATTCAAAAAGCAGTTACATAAATATACGGTAACATTTACCAAGCTTAAATAATTGCAAAAATT